GTAAACATGTATGTTTTGCTGAAAATAAAATGCCTAACAATAAAATAGACCTCACAAATGATTTGTTTCTTCTCATAAAATTTTCTCATACTTGGAACACACATGTGTTCTCAGTAATTAGCCCAGTAATGCTATACGGATGCATTTAATTTATTCCTTACAACACACATATACATACGTACACATACATACACACACACACACACACACACACACACANNNACACACACACACACACACACACACACACAGACACACACAGGCACACGCAAAGCACGTGTACTGAATTTTATAGTAGTAATTTTAATACATAAGTATAAATGAACAAATAAAAATATTGAAATAATTTTTTCAGTATATTTAAAAGCAAATATAAGTATATCTGTTCCTATGAAATAATGATAAAATATTTTGTAAATTTTGCAGATTGAATTTTTCTAAACATTTACCCAAAAATATACTATGAACAATTTACTACAATGCTCTATTATTCCTTCATTCATCAGGTAATTCAAAATTAGCATTCAAAAATAATTGAAAATATGACCAAAAGGATATTAAATTTTCAAATAAGAGAATCAAAAAGGATTAAAATTTTTAAATATAAATAAAATTTAACTGAGATTTGGTACAAAAAAGAAAGAAAGAAAAGAAAAACAAGAAAAAAAAAGGAGACTTGTGCAAAATTATTGATGGTTTTAAATAAAAATCTATTATTTTCACATTTTTCCATATTTTACTTCATTCATCAGAAAGATTAGAGAATGGAAAGAAGCAAACAGATATCTTATTTCGATGAAATTTGATAGAACTCTCATCTTCTAGTTATCAACAATAACCCTTTTTCTCGTAAATGATGTGTAGATAGAGGATGGCGCTTACTGTTTTATTTAAATTTAAATAAATATCTAAGAAATACATGTTGTTATCTTCATTGATAATTTAATGGATGTCTTTTTTTCTTCCTCTCTCTTTCCCTCCCTCAATTAATATGTTTAATGCAATCTTCGCTAATGAACTAATCGGATGAGACTTGTAGTAAAATAAAGCAATGATTAACTGGATGAGACTTGATGCGATAAAATAAAATGATCAAGTCATTTTGTTTCAGTAATTGACACCTTTTAGTCGATGTTAGTCCCACAGTTACGAGAAATAAACATCTTTTCATAAATTACAATTTCCCTTTGTAAAATTTAATTTAATATTCGTAATTTCTTAAAGCTATTAACATTAATAGTTTAATAAGTGGAAGGTTTAATTGGCTGATAGAATGATTTTGAATTTGTTTACTTACCAAAAAAGCTGAATCAAAAGTTTACTGAAATGACATTCATATTTCTTGCTACCAATTACAAAGCAAAAAATGAACATTTCAATGCAGACAGCAATTATAAATGAAAACAAAAGATTTTCAAAGGTTCGAATCAAAATTGATATTCTAAGTTGTTAAATATTTTTAATAGCCGAACCTAGACGAGATCAACTAAGAATCAATTTTAATTTGCTAGTTTCATTTCATTTTTTCTTCTTTGCCCAACATCCATATTAAAAATAAATTTGATGCTCATATTAGCGACAGAAATCGCATTAGTCACTTTTTTCAATAGCCTACAATTAATTACTATTCATCTTAACTATTGCCATAGAAAATTATATACATAGTTTTCTTCTACAAATTTATCACAGTGAAAAGCTTGAAAAGATAAGATATGGAAAAGTTTTCATCAGAAATGCACAATATTTTCTGTTTTTGTAAAGATAACTACCATCAATGCTATTTCTTCCATTCATAAGCAGCAAATAATAGACACAGTTAAACTTTCACCAATAACAATTTGAAAAGACTTTTGAGCAAAAATTTGATGTGACGAATAACAATAAGCATTAAAATCCAATGAAATTAAAAAATAAATCCTGGATTTACAAATCTGAGCTTGTACAAATTGATTCTTACTGAATTAACTGACAAATGCTGCAATCTATTTCTAAATAGTACATACATGAACATTTTAGTAAAACATTTATTTTGTCCCTTATAATCAATCTTACTAATAATAGTGATAAAAAAAAAGCTCGTATATGAAGAATAAAAAGAAATCTCATCACCGATTGGATAAAGTTGAATTATTCATAGAAATGATAACACATATTAAAAATAAAATATCATCTTCGAAAGGCTTCAATTAAATAAAAAAAGTTAGAGATTGATATAATACAGTAAACGGAATAGGAAGAAAAACTCAACAGTTCGAAATAAAAACAAATACTGAAATACCCATAGTTTAAAAATATGAACCATTCGTCCAGCATAAGCATCATTAAATGTAAAATAAGCGCCGACAAAATTTGCATTTATATAACAAATCGGAACAGTAAACGAGCTTTTCATAACAGCTGTTATATGTCCGATAGCTAAGGCCAATAACGTCGCGCAAAGTTAGCTGGTATCTGGAAAAATTAAAAAATAAAAATTTTGCACTGCAAAATTTAAAGTCCAAATCAACTATCAGTTAAACTAATTTTAAGTGCCACGATAACAACAAAGATAATTCAAATTGAATGATTTACCTGTTTATCCTGCAAACCTAATTCCACTTTGCAGACATCTGCATATGCACCATATCTCTCCAAACCGCATTCAATAAATCCGGTAAAATAGATTGCATCATTGAACCAAGTCTGACCTAGCATTTGAAGAGATTATCAAGCAAAGCAGATATGAAAATCCATAAAACTTCAAAATGCAAAAAAATTTGGCGGTGAAAGTAAAGAATTACATCCAGTCTACCAAATACAACAACCCAATTTGTAATACCGTTTATTTACCATAAGAAAATTATTGATCTCAGAAACTTACCTTCATCAAACTGAATACGCAATCTACTATTCCCACCAGATTCACATTCTTTTGAATAAATTCTTGTCCATCCTTCCGCTTCTTCTTTTTCAACCATTGATCGTATGTAATATAAAATGTGGAAGATCTAAAATGGAATTCGTTACTTTCCAATTTTTAAATGGAGAAAGTTAATTGGCAAGATTGCCAAGCTCCCGTTTACAAGACCAAATGGAATATTAACAAATAGTATAAAAGTGATTTATAAAGATTTCTAAAAGGATTAAATCAATCCAAAGTCAGAACTTTCATTTAATGTTTGCAATTTAGTCGTGACCGAAAAAAAACTCTCTTGGGGGAGAGAGTGAATGTGTATGGGAATGAAGGAATTGGATACAACATGGCCAATGTATTTTCCTTTTACTAGGAAAAGAAAAGTTTGCGATGGAATTAATTTAATTAACAACTGATTAACGAAAAGACGAGTAAACTAATCGTTTTCTCGTTAATCAATTGTTACATTGTAAGCATTTTTATAGAAAGACTAAAGAGAATCTATACTAGTGGCCACAATAGCCACAATAAACTATTTAAATAAAAGTAAAAATTTATAATACACGAACCTATGAATCTATAGAAAAAGCCAAAATCAATACCTGTTTTGAGTATTCACCTGCATATCGAACATTTAATATAATGTGTTTTGTTTTTGTTATATCTGTAGATTGGGCAATAATTATTATCATAATTTGTTAAATTTCGTTAAAGAATAGAGAGAAAATTCATCAATAAAGATTTGACATCACAGCAATATAAAATACAGGGAAGTGAATTTATTTTAACTGTCATCTCCAAAAAAAACGAACCTTCAAATGAATTCAACCACGTAATATGAAGGCGTGATATACGTAAGCCTGGATAAATCCTTAGCCTCGGATATACTAATGGGTGAGATTTCTTGCAACGTAATGAATTTATGGAATCGTAACGAGGTATTGTAATCATATCTTCCTGAAAGAAGTTTGTAATATTCTATATTATGCTGTATTATGTAATATTCTGTAATAAAAGAGAATTCATGCATAATTATATTATATTATGCATGAATTCTCTTTTATTTTTTTTTACATTCTGCTTTTAGTAGAAAAGTCAAATTAAAATATGAGTGGCTCCTTTATGATAAGCTTGTAAAAATAGCAATAAATTAATAATCCTTGTCCTAATCAGTTGCATAAAAGTTTGTTAACTTTTCGTATTTGAAAAAATGACAAAGCCATTTAAAACTTACAGGCATAGTATCCAGTTTTTCATCACCTTCATCATCGCTAAGTACAATCACATCACTAATATTTTCACTTCTTTGAACTTTTTTGATGCCAATTGGCCCATTATGACTTTTACGTTTCGTTTCCGTACTATTCAGTTTTAAATAATTGGCTGCCGGAGAATGATTAACACTATCTGAAAAACATTGGAAATAATAATTCAAGGTACCCGTATTTTTTAATATAGTTTCGAGTAGTTCGAAGCAAAATTGTGTTAATCATTCTCAAGATGTTAGGTAATCACATTTCTAAATAATTCCATTTTATCTATGACTTAAGTCAAAGATCACAAAATAAATGACAAAGGCCATGAAGTTGATTAAGACTGCAACGACAAAGCAGGGTTTACCAACAATATTCTTATTTTGCAAGAAACTATCAATAGATTGCCTACAACAATAGACCTGTAAAAAGGATTATAACCTTAATAGCGTAAATGGAGATAAAATGAAATGGAATGACAGAAACGTTTAAAGATTTTTACAGGCTATTTACAGATCGAGATTTAAAAAAAAAAAAACAAGTTTACTATTAAGGTCGTTATAGAACAGAAAAATTGGAAAATCTTTTGGTTATCCCTCTCTTCGTCTTTCATTATCCCTTCTCCCGTCGGATTTAAAAAAGATATCACACAGCGAAACTCATACTATTACTAAGATCTTGCAAACAGCAGAAATAATGAAATCCAACAACTGATACTAGATAAATTTTAATTTAAAAGATTAAAAAAACACAACTAATGAAAAAGATGGCCCGAATAAAAGTCTGAAAATTACTAAATCATCAAATCAATTCAACCAGTCAATCATAAAAAAATCTTACCTTGCCCATTTGTCTGCAACAAATTATTAGTTTGCATGGTTTTATGCTGGGAACTCGTTGACACCAGAGTATGACTGCTAGCATCCGATGAAATCGGTAAATTCAACGGTTGATTCACAGTGATTAAAGCATGGGCTGTTGCCAATGTTTGGTTTTGTAGCGACGAACAGTTATTGTTGCTATTTGCAGCTGTACGGGAGGGAGAAATAAACTGCTCCAAATTCATTGATGATTTACGTAAGTTCGAATTATTTAGACGTGATATCGCTATTGCTGAAATCAATTAGAACAAAAACATGTGAAAGAACCATAGCTTTTCCATTACAGTACACTCAAAATCTTAAAAATTAAAAATTTTCAGAATTCATTATTCTGAATAGCTAAATAAAAGTATTCTATTCAAACTATCAGAAAATTCAAAATTTGTTTAAAAACATATTCTCCTTCATTTCTTTCTCATCTTTATTATTCATATTATATTTATTTTCTTGTTATATAATATTTTGCTCTAACTCTACACTTTATTCTATTTGTTCAGTTAGATCTAAAACAAAACAAACTAACCATTCTTCCGAGCAAATTTATGAAAAATATTATTTTGCTCAGGTGAAACGAATTGTCCTTTCTCAGGTTGTGTGGTATTGGCAGCAGAAATGTTCGCAACAGATGATGTACTCGCTTTAGCATGTGACCGATGGCAACGCATTGCTGAGTTTGCAGCATTCCATGATCCTTCCTCATTTTCCGCTTTCCAACGTTTTTCCCACGTTTGAGCTGCTGCCGCAATCTAAAATATTGATTGCTGGCGAAATAATAAAATGAACTATAGCAAAGAAATGCCAATAAAAGTGAATTTCAGGATTACCAATGATGATTATTGCCTATTAAATCCAAACCTTATCAAACAAGTGCGATTGGTCAAGTATGGAATAGAAGATAATACAAAATTATCCATATGGATCAATCAGTTCGTCATCTCAGAGGCTTCTGGTATAAGAGCAAATCAACTTAGAATGTAAGCGATAACATATATTATTGTATGTTAATCACGAAGAGCAAATCAACTTAGAATGCAAGCGATAAAATATATTATTGCATGTTAATCATGAAGAGCAAATCAACTTAGAATGTAAGCGATAAAATATATTATTGCATGTTAATCACGAAATCTGCTGAAGCATTATGCACGATTCAACATAAAACTGATGATGCTAATTTCAACTTCCATAACATGCAATCCAACGCTTTGTTTTAGTTAGACTGTGATAGCACTAAACTAACAAATATTTAAAGGTTAATAATAACTAGTAAATAAAATGCACTTTAATTGAATAGATGATAGATTTACCGTTGTTCCCGGATAGTTACTAGCAATGAAGCAACTGAACTCTCGAATTGCAAGCCGCATTGTTGATAAATTTTCATGTAAAACTTTAATTGATGCATCCTGTAAATTGAAGAATAACTTTGGGTATGATGGCAAGTTAGAATTTAAATTAATCGTCAGTGAATCAAGCATAAGAAATTTACGGTCGCTTTCCCAATTATAAACTAATTGTTTGGAATTGGTTTGACTAAAATTGACATCTTTTGTATTTTCTGGAACAGCGATCCAAAATAAATAAAACCCTGCATTTTGAGAAATTAAATCAGAAAAACTTGAAGCAATTCCTAGCTTACCTTAGCCCGAACTTCGTTTTGAAGACTTTTAACCAGTGAATTTAATTCACGTTTTTCTACTTTACAAGCTTCAACGACACACGGCAACTGCGATGTATAATACGTCAAAATCTGAAATATAATCAACAAAAAAATTTATGGCAGGTTCAAGAAAACTTTTGAAAAAAATAAAAGCAAAAAAATTTCGAAGTACTTGCATTAGAGAACTTATATTTCGGAAACAATCATTTTCAATTAATCTACGCATGGACTGCTTTAAGCTGCAAACTACGCTTAATATGCGTTACATATTAAAAAAAAAAATCTCCATACATGTGCATTTTGAAAATGAAACTCTGTCTACAAAACATACAAAAATTTGACAAATATACCGACAAGTAAAACTGCATTTTACAAATTTACCCAAATAGGACAAGTAAAAAAAAAAGTAAAATCTATTCCCATACGTATGTAGCATGCAAAAACCTAATTTATATGTGTAAAAAAAAGCGGAATTTATATGTGTATTATGAAAACTAACCCTTTTCAATTCATTTTTTGTTACCACACGTTTTCGGCATTCTTTGTGCTGTGATGCATTTTTTCGAATTGGTTCAACCGGATCCATACCTGTAGCAAAACAATTAAAACTATATTTCAAAATTATTTGCCAAAATACGACAAACATTTTATTTGAAACCAAGAAAACAAAGAAAAAAAAAGCAAAACTTGGAAGCTCTATTTGAATCGTGAAATTATGATGTTTCACAATGAAACAAACTTGGACGATATTAACTGTGATAAAATTTCAAAATTACATGCCTAAATGGTCGATCTCGCACTACCTTAGCAATGAAGATTCGTAGCCTTATTATGTGCGGGGTTTTCTTTTTCTCATAGCTCCGTCAGTAATTCTTCTTTTCCCGCGTGATTATTTGAAATTTTCCCTGCCTGGTTTCTCACGGTTAGTCTATCCCTCTTCTTGTACTATTTTCGTGTTTCAATCACCCCACATTCTATCCTACTTCTTTTTACTACATACTAAAATTGCCCGTATAAAAACTCACAGGAATTCTGGTCTGATAAAAAATTTCCAACTTATATTCAAATCCAAAATTTAAAAGTTCTAAGTACGAAATCTAAATTTTTTCCTATATATGACAGGATAGAAATTGGATGATAAGTTATCACCTGTTAAATTGATTCTAAATGAAATACTTTCATATCTGTAGGAATACTTTTGAATTCATAAATTCAATTTTAAAATTCACAATTAAAATATTCAGAAAATTTAACAAAAAGAATATTTTAACAAGATTTAATGATGCGAGAAAAAAAAATTGATCAAATTTGCTCAAATATTAGATGAAAGATGCCTGTCTATGAAGGAAATGAGGTATTTCACTTCCATTCAATTTTTAGCACATAGAATGAGAGTAATGACGAAATAGCATTGTAAGATACAATGAAAGGAAGTATAAGAGATGCATAATGTGTGCTGGAAACGTGCCAATGTAATATCAATTATCGATTAATTGGGGCAGTATTTCAGCACTGATTATCGATTGGTTGAAGGATTGATGTTGCAATTTATGAGATTGATTGATTAATTAGCTATCGATTAACAATTTAATGAATGAGTACTTTCAATTTGTAAAAACTATCCCGTATTGATTATTGATATGAATTGGAGACAAAATTTTATTTGCAAAAGTGATCTAATCAATAATGTACAGTGAGGAAAGCAAAATGTATTTTATTCGTTCGATTTAAAATTTGCGCTCAATAGCAAGCTTAATCTATTTTCTATAATTGAATTTAAACGCATTATGGTGTTTATGGGGAAGCTTGAAATTTGCTAAGCATTTGAAAATCTAAAACTTGCTTCTTTTTAATTTTTGGTTTGATGAAATGATTGCCGAGAACATATGCAGTGCTCAAATAGTCAAATAGACAAATTTATGCAGATGTTTTTTTCTTTTTTCTAAATTAAATTTTTGTATCCAAGTAGAATTGATTAAAAAATGAGAAATTTTTTCAAAAAAAAAAAATCAGGAAAAAAAGACAGCGAATTAAAGTTAGAATGTATCGGAAATTTCTAAATAACTCTTATTAACTGTTCATTAGATTAAATCATTGTTTAAATTCTGATTGAAATGGATTGTTGCTTTTTTCATTCTTTAAAAAAAGAAATTATAAAACAATGGAAAGCATTTTAATAGTTCAAAAAAAAAATACTGTCTTAGATTTAAGCATTAATTGTTATTTCTGAGTTTAAATTATAAGTGATAAATTGATAGAAATTCTCTTAAATTCTGATGTTAAACAATAATTTAATAAGTGAATTCAAATGAAAAAAAACGAACTAAAGTTACCATAATTAGTATATAAATAAATAGATTAAATTTAGCGAGTTTCGTTAGTTGAAAGATGACATATTTTTATCAGTGCAAATTTAAATGCATTTAAAGAACATATAATTTGTCAACAACACACACAAACACATAAATGCGAAAGAATTTATACTGATCGTCTTTTTAAATATTAGAATGAATTTTAAACATCGATTGATTCACTCGAATTTTTGTTTTCCCATGCAAATGTTATAATTATTTTGAATAAATGCGAAAGAATTTTGCTCCATAAATTCAAATACTCTTTTTGTTTTTTTTTTCTCTTTTGTTTTTTTTCTTCTCTATCTGATTAGTTTCTTTTTCATAATGAATGAAAATTATTTTATTTTATAAAAATAATTTCTTGATATAAATAATTAATCGATATAATTTAATATTTAGTAATAATCTAATATGCCATTTTAAGTTACAAAAAATTTTGTGCTATATTATTTTTTAACATTCCACAACGATTAATCTCATTTTTCCTTTCGACATTTATGAATGATAATGCTGATAACTCAGTCAATTTATTTAATCCCATGTGACATTTTTTTCCATTTTTTGAAAATGTTTTTTTCTCAGTAAAATGCTTTTTGGGAAATTTTTGTTTGCTAACTTTTGTGGCTCGCTTAAATTTACTCTTTTTGGCAAGAACAGTACAAGAAATAAATGCACTTTGGCATTTGAATATTTGTAATATTTCATTAATTTTATGACAAATCGGGATTGCTAAAAAAAAGATTATTTTTCCAGTTCGATATGTAAAAGTTCTGAGAAATGTTAAAAAACCTCACACTTCAAATGAAATGCTTTTTGAAAATGTGGCGGATTTGAAAAACTTTTACAAGTTTTAATTCAAGCTATTTGATGTTGAAATGATAACGATTCCTCGCATTGTTATCATGACAATGCCTTTTTTCTCTTTATCATAACCTTGATGAATACTATTTTCTCAAAACATTGACTTAATCGATATCAGCTGCTGAATTCATTATACGCTCATTAATCAAATTGTCAGTGTATTTCACAATGTTATTTCACGATCAAAAATCACCAAAAATTTTCATAAAAACTCCGCACAAAAAAAAATTTTACCTCGCTCAAACAATAAATTACTTTATTTTCTCTAAAAACTCTTGTTTTATTCACTTTTCAATTCAGATCTAACTTTGAATTTTTAAATCTTATTAATTAAAACTATTCTCTGCTTCTAATCTTCTCTTGATTTTTTATTTTTAAAATTTTTAAATTTCATTCTTTATCCAGGTTTCTTTTTTTTTGCTTTTTTTCCAAAATTTTGCTTTAAGTTGTCTTATTTTTTCGTAAATTTTTAAAGTGTTAGGTTTTTAAGCTTCAGCGTTTTCGTTCTAAACATTTCAAAATGTATGGGTTTTGATGTGATATCATTAGGCCGAAAGATGGCAGTTAAAAATCATGTTTAATGTGAAATCGATGAAATTTTTTGCTGAATAAGCAAAAATTCACTTTCACTTCAATAAAATATAATTACCATTAATACTTAATTAAATGATATTTTATTGCATAAAGTATTTTAGGAAACTAAATGAACTTATTGACATGAAAAACAATTTCAGTGATGAAGGTAATAGATGATTTAAACAGATGGCATTCACGATGATGCTGCAATTTTATTTCAATTTCAATTTTAAGATTTTGCAATAGATAAAGTGTTTATTTCACATTTCAGATTAAACAAGCGTTTATTACATTAATTTCACAACTATACACGCAATATGTTTTATCCTATTAAAATGTTATTTAATTGAATGTTAGCTCTTCGACTAAATTTGAATAGTTTTAGCAGTGTCGTATTTGTGGTAAATACTTTTTTTTTTAAAATTAATATCGTAGATTAATTTAGTTAAGGAAAATGAAGTTCTGCATGTGCAGCATGCAGTCATCGACATTTTGTATTTATTTAGCAATATCATATTTGTAGTAT